AATCAGCTGAGATTTCCATTGTCCTCAAACAAGAATCCCTTAGAACAGACTGGTCAGGATTGCTTGTATGGGTCCAACCTTTGGCTTTGAATTTCATTTTCTCGTTTAGTGCTAAACTTTCACACCTTCCCACAACTACGGTGCATCATCTCCTTCACACACACACACACTGAAATAAAATTCAGGCTCTCTTAAGTGTTCAAATTAGTCAGTAGGTGTGCAACACTGTACCCTTTTAAAAGATACTTTGGCAGTTTTAAGTAGGATTTTCATCTTGTGAAGTTGTTTGGTTGGTTTTTTTGTTGTTGTTTTGTTTTGTTTTGTTTTTGGTGGTTAATACATTGGCCAACATCAAATTGCCTTATATGCAGAGCAGGAGGGCAATCAAATAAGAGCCCTGCACTCATGCCAGCAGGTTGATTTCACAATCAATGCAGGGACAGGCAAACACTGGGGAGCCTGTTGGAGCTGGGAGGATGCTTATGCAGTTGTTCTTCCACTCTGCAATTAGGCAATAAGATATTGGTAATTTTATTCTTAGATACCCTCCCCCATGTGCCTGAGAAATAAGTAAGATATGAAGATCCATGACTTCATGGGTCTAAGTAGTCCCTCCACCAATGTAGTTTGCAGCTACTTCATATGGTCATTGTGTTCATAAATGATATGGCCAATTCATCACCTAGTGGCCAACCTTCCGATGCTTAGTTAGATTAGTCCTCAAAGAGCACAAATGCATTTTACCTCCAGAGCCAAACTTGAAATCTGATTGTTTGGGTAGAATGTGCTAGAGTTTTATTCTGCTGTCACAGCCTTCTGGAGCCTGATGTCACATGTTTCTGTTGTAGCTATATCAACTAAAACATCCTAAGGGTGTGGCTAAACTATTGAAATAAATGGAGTGATGGATCTGGGTTTTTTTATTCAGCTTAAAGTCATGTCATAGTGGGTTTGGGGTTGGTGTGTGCACCCTCTTGGGGAAACTCAATCCATTTATGAATTGTATTGTATATCAGTTGATATACAATGCGTGGGTGGGCACATACAGAGACGGACACAGACACACAGAGAGACACACACACACACAGTGAAGAAGGAGAGGAAGCACAGAAAGCACAACGAGTGGCAGACACAATTTACACCCACAGTATGCCAAAACTATAAAAAAACAAATCAGTTTCAAAACTGATTTAAAGTAAATTAAATAAATTAAATAAACAATGATCCTCTCACAGCTGAGTAAAATGCTTTATTTTCCACCCAAAACAACATGCTTCCCAGGCCAAAAATAAAAAAATAAAAAAATCACGCTTCCATATGCACTTTGTATTCTCCTTTTAAAAAACTGGTTTCAAATATGCTAAACCTGATTCAACACATTGTTTTTTCCCATGTGTACCTGTGCTCTCAGATTCATATACTGTATAATGCCACAATCTCACCAATGGTGCATGAGGAAAAGAGACTTGTAATAACCAGTAAGAACACCAGATGGTATCCATGAGTTGTTTCCATTTATTTCTGGTAATGTCTTCTTACAGATTTTGTCCTGAAACATAGAACAAGTTATGCAAATAGGATGTCAGATTTTGAGTTGATTTCTGGTAGTGATGTCTGGCCATCAGCAGCTTCAGAGGCATTTTAGGCAGATAATAACTTGCTTGAGTCTAGTAATTCTTGAGCTGTCCTGAATTGTAGGTGTTCAACTATCCTGGCTTGCCTGTTCTTTGTACATCACTTGCATCATCTTACTTTAGAGCCACTACCAACAGGACGCTTGACAGTCGTCTGAACTAAAACTCAGTTCCTTAACTATCCCTATGCATTACATGCTGAAGGTAAAGAGAAAGGGACAATTGCTAGATTTGTGTATGCCCCTTGTCACTGGATGGGAGCTTCAAACGTTACTAAGGAAGCACCCTCAACCAAACACACAGTCGTTTCTCTATTTGGCTGGCAGCACTTTGTAATGCTGGAAATGGAATTCTCACAGGGAGAAATTCACATCATTTGCCTGAATAAGTTCCCCTTTGACCATTACATGAAGGATTGGCAGCTGGATACAGAAGTCACTTCTGTGCATTCAGCTAGCAATCTCCAAAGCTGCAGTGGGGTGTTTAGCAGTGAAGACACTACAGTACTATGGTCTACTTGTACTATATGGCTTAGCAACCCACCCCTTTTCTGTCTCTGTACACATTCAGAGCAGACCTGTGTAACAACCAACAACAACGTCCCATGTCAAATTCTTGCCCTCCACTCCTCCATCATGTGCAGCACTATTTACCCAATTTGTGGTGTAATCATTTTGTCCATTATGTACCATCTGCCTATGAAGTAGTGCAGGGGAATGGGCTGTGTTTGTTTTTAGTTATATTACATATTACAAAGAAGTAGAGTATGTCGTGGGGAACTACAGTTTTTGTGGCAGCCCTGTTTTACTCATGATATGTAGATTCATCCATTTACAAGGAAATACATCCTAGATCAAATCAACCCTAAACTCTCACTAAAAGCTAAAATGATTAAACTGGGGCAGTATGTCAGACATATGATGAGGAAACAACTGGCAAAGATTTAAAAAAACTCAGCAAGTTCTGTTAGTCAAACAAAATACAGTAGGATCCCTGTATCTGCGGAGCTGTGCATCTGTGGTTTAAATTGTCCACTGTCACCACTGTTGCAACCCAGCCAGAAGTGTATAAGCGTGCCCACATGCGCTCACCTCTTCCTCTTACCCTCCCCACCCACACAGATAGTAGTGAAATAGTTTGCTACTATCTGTGGTTTCAGACATCTGTGGGGAGGAGCCTTGGAACAAGCACCCCACAGATACTGTTTACTACACACTCATACGGAACGATCGGGTCTACTCCCCAATCTATAGTGAGTACTCTGTTAGTACTCACATAGTTGACAAAATAAATATCAGAAGGAACAGTAAGGAACATGGTACAAACAGTGGGACAAATACCTGTCTGGTCGCTCCCTCAGTAAAAGAAACCACAGCACTTAGTCTGCAATACCTGAGCAGGACTGCCTTTGTTTGAATTTATTCATTCTTAGGGTTCCATAAGAGGGAAACACCTTGATGGAAGATAACTAACACATAAGTTTGCAGAAGCAAATTTAGTTTTAATTCGCTGCTTTGTCACAGCTCTGAAAAAATGTCTTACAGGTCATCCCTGCAACTTGGAGACCAGCAGAATATAAGAATAGTAAGATGCAGTAAGAGATGGACCATTTTAATCAATTGAACTTATGGAGGAGATGATTCACTAAATCCCCAGTGATTCAATGGGCCTGCTCTAGTGCAATTAACCACATCAAGGAACAGGATGTTGGCAAATATGAGAAAGGGTGCTTAGCTGAAATGGGCCAGAAACTGAATGTGACCAGGATAACTAACAATTGCATAGATTTGGCTATAAATTGCCAGATCACATTTCTGATCACTCACTAGTCACGTGCCTAGGAATGCAAGCAGCAATTCATGAATTAATGACTTTTTGTGGCTACAGTTTATACAGTTACACTATTGCCAGAATAATTCCTCAGGCAGATTCTGTACAGACAGCCCTGAAGCTAAACTACATACTACATAATATTTGTAGCATTTTTAACCTCACATTCTTTTTACATATAAGTAATCAAAGTGAAGTGTGCTGCTTGTATACCACCCCGTACTGCTTAAAGTACTCTCTGAGCAGTTTACAATAATTATGCAGGTTACACATTGCACCACGACCCCGCCACTTTGGCAAGCTGGATACACAATTTACCAGTCTTGGAAGGATGGAAGGCTGAGTGAACCCCTCCAGCCAGCTACCTGGGATTGAACCCAGGCCACAAACTGAGTTTTGGCTGTAGTATTGCAGTTTAACCACTGCACCATGAGGCTGAGGAGTTTAGGGTCTGATCTGGACCAGGGGCACTCTTTGTTAGATAATGGGTTGTTTTTCCTTAAATTCTCCCACCCGGAACATGGGGGCTAAAAAGAAGAAAACTGTTCTTTAATATACTCAAGCCAAACTTTTTCCCCTTAAATCCAATGTTAATTTTCTTCACTTCAAAACACTCCAGAAGTATTCAATTCAAAGGCTACTTTGAGCAGGCACCCGAGCTCCAGTCTTTGCTGCTATGTAATTCTTCTGCTACTTTTCTGAAGAGTTCTGTATCATCTTTGGAAAGGTTGTATCTTTAGAAACTGAGAGTGAGATACAAACCTTTGAAATAAATACTTATACTTCCAAGGGATTGTTTGTTACAGTATGCAAATTAGGAATGTTAACAATGCTACAATATGCAAATTAGGAATGCAGGTTGTTGACTGGGGCTGGTTACAGGGATCACATAATCCCCCTGTTGCAGCAGCTCCGCTGACTGCCAGTCAATTATCAAACACAATTTGAAGCACTGGCTTTATCTTATAAAGCCCTAAATGGCCTGGGTCCAAGCTATCTCAAATACCATATCTCCCATTATGAGCTGGCTCAGGTGTTAAGATCATCAGGAGAGGCCTTTCTCTTGGTCCCACCACCTTCACAGGTGCATCTGATGGGTACACAGGAGAGGACCTTCTCTGTTGTTGCTTCCAGACTCTGGAACTCCCTCCCACAGGAGGTCAGGCTGGCCGCATCTTTGCTGTCCTTCCGCAAGCAGGCAAAGTCCTTTATCTTCAGGCAAGGCTTCCCTCAATGACTGCTACCTGAGTGTGATTTTTAGGTGGATTGTTATGCATTACTACCTTGACTGGATTTTTAGTACTACTTGTGTTTTCCATTTCTCTGAGTGGCATTTATATTTGTATACTTATGATTTTAAGCTTTAATCTTGTCTTTTAATGATGTAAGTTGCCTCTTTATACCCATTGTTTTCAGCTTTCAGTATTGACTTTCAATAATGCAAACCACCTTGGTCCTTTTAAAGACAAAAAGTGGGGTAAAATATTCTAAATAAATAAATAAATTCCTCCCTTCCTTTTGTTTTGTTGTTCAAAGGTAAAGGCCACAGATGCAGATGAAGGTGTAAATGGCCGTGTATGGTACAGGATTGTCAAGGGTAAGCAAGGATATTCCCATATGTTTTAGATAGTTTTAGTTTTTGTAATTATTGTGCAAGAAATAAAGCAACCAGACACTGTAATTTAATATGCATTTTTATCCCCTATTTTAAGCTTAATTATTGGAAGACATAAATTCTATTGAAACTCCACTTTTGATATCCTGTATGTGATTCTCACTGTAATGCAGTTACAATAGTTTTTCCCCTTGTGATGTCAATAAACTCAATTCATTCTTCATAACTGTCAAGATCAAGTGTACTGCAGAAATTGATTACACTGTATCAACATATCCTAACACTTAACATTCTAAGGTAATACTCTGAGGTCATGATCAGTTCACTGAAATGGAAGTTCCATTGATAATGGAACTTGTTTCCAAGAAAATATACTGCATAGAAGCTGATAGAAGCTAAGAGAGATTTAATGCCATGGAGATGTACATTTTGACCATAGCCAATAGGACGTTTAGATAGAAGCTAAGAGAGAAGACCAACATGAATTTGACCAAACTCTGGGAGGCAGTGGAAGACAGGAGGGCTTGACGTGCTCTGGTCCATGGGGTCATGAAGAGTCGGGCACAACTTAACGACTAAACAACAACAAAAAGAAGAGAGAAGAGGAACTTCAGTGTGGATTTTAGAAAGAAAGATTTGAATGGATGACTTTGGGAGGAGGAGAAAGGGGAGGAGACTGAAGACCATGGAAAAGGATAAGGAGCAAAACAGTTGTGAAAGATGGAGCACCAACAAGTTAACAGATGGCATGTGACAAGACCTTAGCCCTTTGAGAGGGGGCGTATTGAACAAGTAACGAGATACTTAATCCTTTAATGTAAAATTTTTTAAGTATGTAGCATTGTTCTTAAATTGGTGTTTTTATAATTAATTTTAAAAACCCTTTCATGGTAATAGTTTCACTCTATTGTTCTTTATATCCCTATGTGTAGTACAGTATATGATAGGTTTGTGCATTTTATTTTAAGGTAAGTTACTTCAAAGTGACAGCTGTTGAGGTGCATTGTGTTTCCTAGGGCAGAAGTGCGCTTTTCAAAGTGAAGGTATCCTGGCATGCATCATTCAAACCTCTTTGTCTATCATCAACAGGAAACAATTATAATAACTTCCGGATCAATCCCAGCAGCGGACTCGTCATGCGAGGTTTACGGCCTCTGGACAGAGAACGCAATTCCTCTCATGTCCTTGAAGTGGAAGCCTATAATAGTGAACAAGGACCAATGAGGAGCTCTGTGAGGGTAATGATTCTTCAGAATACCATAAGAGCTATCTTAAAGTGGTGGAGAAGCTATAATAGAGTGTGTTCTGGATGATACAATAAAGCTTTCTCCAGGATAAGGTTTAACATGTGAGATATTTTGAAGAGTTTCATAGATCATGTTGTTGTAGGGTCATATGCTGAGAATGTTTACGTATGCATTGAGTGGATTTCAACAAGCAGTTGTCGGCATGGCTGGTAGAATTCTGGGTGGGTGAATTTCTCCATTCTTTCGATTTGATTTCTTAACTAATTAGAAAAAAACAAGTGCATAGTAAATTCCAGGAAGTACCAGAGTGTGTGGGTTCTAGACCAGTCGTTCTCAACCTTGCTTTGGCCATTGGCATAAACACAATATGATAGAAATTCATGTTCATAATTCTCATTAAAAGGAGACACAATTCTCTTTTTAAGGAGAAAGGTGGTATATAACTATTTTAAATGAATAAGGAATTAATAAACATAGGCCAAATCATGATTATCTAAGTCACATAGCAAACCTTATAAGATGGTGCATGAAGAATTGTGTGGGCCCCTTTAAATGTGCCAGGGCTTCCCAGAGGGCCATATGGCTCCCATTGAAAATGGCTGTTCTAGACTTTCAATGGGAAACCTCAAACTGTCAGTCTGAGACTTAGCTTCATAGGTTACTGTGGACTATATTTGTTTGGGCCTCAAGAACCCTGTTTGGATCTAAAGGATAATAAGAAAATTGGCCCTTTCAACTGACAAGTGGCATGTAAATCCATTTCTGCATTTTTGCTGGTCCTAGAGTGAACAGGAGTGCTTTCTGCACTTCTGGTCCACAGTGCAGGAATTTCTTCCTAAGGCACATCAAAGTTCAGGCTTTCCATCCATTGACTTCATTGACCCATGACATCTGTGATCTTGGCCTTATCCTGGCAATATGTATCTCCTTCACTCCACTGAAGTGGGCTAAGGAAAGCATACATTATATTTTTATATTTAAAGGTCCATATAAATAGGAATATACTTTACACTGAAAAAAGTTTCTTTGTCTCCTTTGGGGATGGAGGAATAATTGGTCCTCCTGTCCTCCCTTCCCAGGGGACACCCTTATTGGGTATGATCTTCCTGTTAACATGGACAAAACATTAAAAGGTGACAATATACTTCAGTCTGGAGTCGATCTTTTGGTCCATTACCACTCCATGATTTGGTAGAGCCATACACCCATCAGGATTTCTCCTTTTCATTATGCATTGCTTTCTTTTTCCAGAAGACACTCCAATCAAATTAACCATGTGTGTTTTAACATTTCCCTAGGTAATAGTCTATGTGGAAGATGTCAATGATGAAGTGCCAGTATTTACTCAAAGGCAATATAACCGGCTGGGTTTACGAGAGACTGCTGGGATTGGGACATCTGTTGCAGTTGTCCGGGCAACCGATCGAGATATAGGTACAGCTACTGCATAAAACATTCTCCAAAGCATTGATGACTCTTTGTGATTTGGATATATCCACTGCGGAGTCTTGCTTTCCTCTTCTGCCTTGATTCTTGGTAACCACTAAGAGGAGTGGGAAGCTGAGATGACTCCTAATCGAATGTAGTTCCTAATTATGAAAGTTAAAGGGGGGAAAAGATAATAAAAAGCCAGCATAATATTATTGAGCAACTGCTACATTTCTCATTCTTTAGCAAAAAAAGAAAAGCTTCCCATGCTGAAAAAATGCAATGCAGACATACCTGAAAACATTCTTGTGTCGTTTGCTTACCTAATTCTGGACTCCATGATTCCACTCTTCTATGTTTCTGAAATAATTAATACCTTTCTAAAAACATTTGAAATATACTGCCCCTCCCCTTAAAACCTGAGACATTGGCATTTATTGACACTTGTGGTTAAAATCAGGATGGGGCGAACAGAAGAGGGCTTACAGTGGAAAGAAAAGGGTTGTTTAGTGATGGAAAAGGGTGAGAGAGATGCAAAAGAGACGAAGGGAAAGGGGGAAAAAAAGGAGAATGTCTCTAGCATCTTCCAGGATATATTTCCATCAGAATCTTCATAGTTTATTTTTCTTGGAAGCCGGGAACTGACTAGAAGAAGTGAGCAAGGTCTGAGTGGAGAATATGTAGCGAGATTTGCCAGTTGGACAGTGGCCAGTTATCTGAGGGAGAAGCCCCAAAAAGAAACTATGGGGGATGGGTTCTACACTAAGAGTTGCATGCTATGATAGTTAACAACTGAGCCATAACTAAGGCAGGCTACTATGGCTTAGACACAGGGTAGCCAAATTTAGAGGGTTTAAAAATTCGCTACTAGAAGAACATGAATTCAACCATTGATATTTGCTTATGGAAAACATGAACCTGCCCACTCTGAGCACATATACTGCTCACAGTCTTTCCTCTCTGAGGACAAGGAAACACAAGACAGGTTAGCTCATCATTACAGAACCAGTATGGCTATCACTCGCTCACAGGCAGGCATTCCTACTCATTCTTCCATCCTCTCCCCACATATAATCTAATGTGATCCAAGCTTAACAAATAGAGCAGCAAGGCCTGGAGTAGAACAATTGGCAGGGCTCTAATTAACATTATACTAGGAGTGCAAATGTCAGCCTTCCAGAGATTATTAGACTACAACATCCAGCACTCCACAAGCATAGTCAATGGTGAGGAAAGTCGGGAGTCCCAGTCTAAAAACATCTTGAGGATGAGGCACCTTGCTCCCCACTGCTGCCATCTGGATACCTGGGATTGCAATGACTAGATGGTCTGAGAATCAATCAGTGCAGGCCTGTCCTACTCAGTGAAGGGTAGAAAGAAGCCATCAGACATTAGCAACAAGCTGGGTCTCCTGATTATGAGCAGGCCAACTGAGTGGGGAACAGGAGGCATAACTGCTTGCTATTTAAGTGTCCTTGTTTCCAGGGTATGTCAGTTAAGTTTAACTGAAAAGGACAGAATAACAGTGAGAAACTGGGACCTATTGTTTAGAGAAGGGAAGGAGGTCTCTGAAGTAGATGTGCCCTGCATGTTAAAGGAAAGTAACTTTTCTTTATTAACGATTGTATAAACTCTAAATGTGCATTTGGGTTTTCAACTTCCCATCCTGATTACAGTACTACATCACTGGATAAGCTGTTACCTTTTGACATACCCGCTAAATCCATTTTTCTCCCCTTAGGAAATGGAGGTCTGGTGAATTACAAAATTGTTTCCGGTTCTGAGGGGAAATTTGAAATTGATGAAAGCACTGGGCTCATTACCACAATTGACTACCTGGACTACGAGACAAAAACCAGCTATTTGATGAATGTCTCAGCTACAGATCAAGCCCCTCCCCGCAATCAAGGCTTCTGCAGTGTCTATGTCAGCCTTCTCAATGAACTAGATGAAGCTGTACAGTTCTCAAACACCACTTATGAGGCAGTCATCACAGAGAACATTCCCTTGGGCTCTGAAGTGCTGCGTGTCCAGGCCCGCTCCATTGACAACCTTAACCAGATCACATACAAGTTTGACCCCAATACTAACGCCCAAGCTCTGGCTTTGTTCAAAATAAATGGAATCACTGTAAGTAGTTTATAGGTGGCCTTCCTTCACATCATGAGTCATGACACCAGAAATCTACAGCCTTTAGGTATTCATTTTTGCTTTTCCTGGCAGGGTGTGATCACAGTCAAAGGACAAGTGGATCGAGAGAAGGGAGATTTCTACACTCTAACTGTTGTTGCAGATGATGGAGGTCCAAAGCTTGACTCAACAGTGGTGAGAATTGGCTTTTGTGGCTTTTAAATAATGTTTAAGTCTATTTTTAGTAATTTTAATCTAAAAGGGCGGAAAAGCAATAGACAATCAATCAATAAATACTTGCCTTTCCTTGGTAAGAGCATGTCAGATTGATTAAGTATGTTTTCCTGGCAGTTCCAAAACTGTGTTGAATTGGCTACATGTATTTCTATATTGATCCAAACATTTCAGTCCTACTGTTGCATGGCCATTTGTCCAGATGGCTCCTTTTAGGAGATGGATTCATTTCTATGAAATTTAGGAAGGAGTTGGTCTTCATTTAGTATATGGGTATGAGGAGAACAACTATTTTGTTTTTCTGTCTGTCTGTCTGTCTATCTCTGCCTGCCTGCTTGCCTGTCTTTCTTCTTCTCTCATTCTCTGCATTTTTGTTTTGTTCTGTTTTTTACACTTTACGAAAGCTTTGCTCTGCCTCCCAGCCAAATTCCTGGGAAAAGCTGCACGGGAATGACAGCGTGTGATCATAAGACATCATTTCTGAGGAATGGCTGGGCTTTTAAAAAGGAAAGCTTGGCCTCATGTGTCCAACTTTATTTTCTTGCAAAAACATACACCAGTAAGCAAAGGAATGTTATGGAATTTGCTTGCCTGTTCATCATTTTCTTTTATTGCTCTATTTTATTTCCCAGAAAAGACGTTTAAGACATTGCTGAATCTTTATAGCATTACTGAATATGGTTTTATTACAGTCCTTTCATTTTAAATGTTTCAGCTAATGTTTCTAATACATTGAATGAGCTTATTTAGGAAGAGGAAAATAGCTATCATGGTGGACAAACATACCTCCTTTGCAAATGGTTGGATTCACCATGTTCTGTCTCATCAGCCTAAGAACCAGCTCATTCCTCTCATTACAATTAAGGTTGTGCATAATTTGAGTACTTCATGTGATGCAGTGATTAGATAAGGGGTAGTTACTTAAGAACTGGGGCTGTTATCCAGATAATCATGCTAGGTAAAATTATTTGGCTCCCAGCCAAAAGTAGTATATCTCGCATTTTTTCTTGTGTACAAAGTACAGTACTGACAAACTGCCTTTCTGGATCACAATAATTCTGGATCACTCCTACTTCGACAAACTGCCTTTCTGGATCACAATAATTTTTTCTTCTTTATGGAGTTCTTTGTCTTGGTTGGTTACTTTAGAACTTTCTAGCCGAGCACAGTGTGATTTACTGAGCATGAAGGTGTTGGGATTTTAGACGCCAAATCTCCAAATCCTCCTGCAATTGCAGTCTGAAACACCTGTTATCTCATATCTCAACCAACTTAAAGCATGTAATTCAAACCGTATTTTTTAAGGGACAAACATATAGTAACTATTTATTCTTTCTTTTTTTCTTCTGTGTCCTGCCCAACAGAAGGTAAGTGTTTACTATGGTCATGCTTTTATATATATTCCTATATTTGATATTTATAGGATGCAAAACACCTAAGAAGATGGATCACGTTTGTTGGTCTAGAGTATGCAAGCTTTAGAATTATATAGCACTTGAAGACAGAAGAGAAGTAAGCTAATGGTCTACTACTGGGGGAACCCTAAACCCTTTTCAGGAGTTAGTATATCGGATTTTGCTTCCAATGTTCAGAGAAGAGTACCTAGCCCTGGCACGTTACATCATTATTTTCAACATGCAGTCACCAAGGGGTCTGAAGAGGAGGTGGTCTTGCTTGCATATAGGCTCTACTCTATTCATTAGCAACAAGAACCTACATTTTCCACAGTTCTAGCTCATATGTAGAGTCTGTACACTAGCACAGCCATTCTCAACCTTTTTAAAGCCACATCCATAAACATAATATGAAAGAATTATGGACCATATCAAGATTTTATAAGTCGCATAGTGAACCTTATAAGATGGTGTGTGAGGAATATTTCCAGTATTTGGGTCCTTTCAAATGTGCCATACCTACTCACCCCATGGCTTCAGCAGAATCTTTCCACTTTAGACTCCATGGTCATTGTATCAGAAGTTGACAGAGAGGGCAAGACCAGGTGGTTCCTTCTAAGCATGCATATGTATGTGGGTGTGCTAATGACTCAGTAGGACTGTTGGCATTTGTTTGTTTTCCTGCCATGTGTCCTCCTAGCAGCTTTATAAAGCTGCCAGCATCTCTGCATTGCAAACACACTCAGCAGGCAATCAAGAATGGAGGAAAACAGTAGTGGAAATCTGTTCCAGGAGTGGCAAGGAAAAGTGGGAAGAGCCACAGACTGAAAAGCAGGGAATAGAGAGGAAGCAGTGAGGCAACAGCAGAGCCCAGAGTAGTGGCATATTCCACTGTCTCAGTGCCCCATCATCTGTGGTTGATGTCTGCTCGGGCCTAATGCTGGGGTGGCTCTGGGGTCAACAATGGGAGGAACTAGGGTAGATTAGAGGAGATCCGTTTCTCTATTCAGATGGCTAGCCTTTTCAGCAGCTGCAGCTGCTATGTCTTGAAGTAAAGAGGCACATCTCCCCTGTTGTCTGATAGCTTTTCTTACAAATAAAAAAAATAGCTGAAGGTCAAAGAGACTAAAAATAGAAGAAGTAGGCTTAGCCTTCCTCTAGAAGCAGGCCATGTTGTCTAATCTTACACCTGAAGTCTTCCGTCAGGTAAAGAAAGAGTCATAAACAGATGCATCTTCCTCTCTTTCTCCTCTGTACATGTTTTGTGTGTGCCCTCCACAGTTATTTTTAGGCATGAGAACATTTCCTTTAGCTCTTCTCAGAAAACACAACTTGCAAAAAGTCAGGGTGATTCTGGATTCATGGCTGCAGCTGAGGTACATCCATAACAAACAAGGTCTTCTTCTTTTTATGGCTGTTAAGGGGCAGTTCTCGCAGTACAGCGGTTCTAAGAGCACTTGGTTGCTGTGAGAGTTTGGCAACATCACAGCCTCTTGGGAGTTCCCACATATTGCTAGACACACGTGGATTAGTTCATAAGGCAAAAGCAGTGGTGCAGGTTATGAAACCTCCACAATAAATGTGAGGTTTTATCTCCCCCTTTGTCAGTAGAAGCCTGGATATGAGAACGACCCCTTATGTTGCCTGGATATACCCTTGGACTGCAGCCGTGTGTACAGTTAAAAGGAAGCCCTGTTGAACTGAGTGGGATTTATATCTGAATAAGCAGGAGTGGGTTCAGTCTGTTGTTCTTCAAGCCATAGAAAATATTAGCGGTGCCTAATCCTTCAATACAAGGCTTCTGCCTTCTGAAGTAAACATTGTATTTTACATTGCATCCTCAAACCCAAATAAACCTGTTGGGAGGGATGAAGTCTGTACCTGTCATGGTAGCATGCTAAACTTAACTCCTACGAGTTAATCAATAGGAATCTTGAAACGTATAGCTTTTGCAGGCATGTTTGTAAGTTTGAGAGCTGCCTTGGGTTCCTCTTAAAGAGAAAGGGGGGATAAAAATATTTTAAATAAAAATAAATAAACACATTGCTTATGTTTTAAAATTCATTATGCTTTACAATCATAGCTTCCAAGGCCCTTTCATGAGTAAAACTGGCTATTAATATTCGCCTCTGAAACAGGCTTCTTTGATAAGTTAAGTAGGAACTCTGTTTTGCAATAAAAACAAACCAGTCTCTATCTGTTCATTGCCCCTGAAACGTCTAACTTGGTGTTCATGAAAATTTTTTACTATGAACTGAATTTTTCCATTGTACAGGTTACTATCACCATCCTGGACGAGAATGACAATAGCCCACAGTTTGACATTACTTCTGACTCCTCTGTCAGCGTGCCAGAGGACAGTTCAGTTGGACGTCGAATTGCCCTAGTTCTGGCCAGGGACCCCGATGCAGGAAGCAATGGGCAGGTAGCCATTCACATATAGCTTGAAAATATACCATTCCTGTAGAGTCACATGGGGTACAATCGTAGTTCCTTATTCTGATTTAGGGATGAGTGCTTTATACATGAGATTGACAATTAGAAACACCTAGCTGCCATGTTGAAGATTACTAGTGGAAATGCGTACTGCGTATAATCAACATCTGATGATTTGTAAATCTGTTTCCTTTTCCTAATTATTGTGATAAGCTGACTTCCTTGTTACTGCATGTTCCCTCTATTGTACTGAATTCATTATGGTTTTCAGGGAGGTACTGTATATGATTGCACACTACCTCTAGAAAAAATAGCAAAGAAGGAAGCCCCAAAAACTGATAGAGAACACTCTGCCCTTGTACAAAGTATGTCTCGTGTTGCAAAAGGTATCATCAGAACACAGATTGCTGGCATGAGAGAACTGCTGGGTGCCTCAGCTGCCAAATGCATGCCACTGTGATCCGTAAACTTGATTTGTAAAGAAGGAAAAGAAAATTATTTTAAAGATCTACTGCCTGGCTGCAGAAGGGCTATTCTTGATCCAGAGGGGAAATAATGCTCATTTTAAATGGTCCCTACAGACATGTATGAAAGAGAAGTGCAAAACAAAGATGCTTCTTTCAATAGTTTGTCTATGTCCATGTGTGCTCACCTGAGAAATGCTATTCAGATGAATTTCATACTAGGAAATTGGCCTATACAGGTATATATTAAAGCAAAATCTCTGTGAAGATTCTGAGTCATCCAGATGAGGTTATCTGGAAGTTGCCATGACTCAACTTGCAAATAAAAGCAAAATGTGCTGCTTATATACTGCCCCATGTATGTGATTTCATTTACGTATGGATAAATACACATGCATGCCCATTACTAACTCCCTTCACTTTTAGTTGAGAAATGCAATTCAAGTGCAATCTGTTAAGAAATTTTTATTGTGGAGAAGATGAGATATAACATCTGTTCCCCCCCCCCCAATAGGGGCCACCATTTTGGGAAAGGCTGCTTTAGTCTGACTGAGTAGTGAAACTGTTTAAGTGGTAACTTAATTCTCCTAATGGCTCATTAAGTCTCTGTATCAGGGGCTGGGAATTTGTGATTTGTTGTACAGATGTGGTTTCTCCTACAAGGCAAATTTTCATGTCCAAAATGTGCTGCTTATATACTGCCCCATGTATGTGATTCCATTTATGTATGGATAAACACACACACATGCCCATTACTAACTCCCTTCACTGTTAGTTGAGAAATGCAATTCAAGTGCAATCTGTAAGAATTTTTGATTATGGAGAAGATGAGATATAACATCTGTTTCCCCCCCCCCCAATAGGGGCCACCATTTTGGGAAAGGCTGCTTTAGTCTGACTGAGTAATGAAACTGTTTAAGTGGTAACTTAATTCTGCTAATGGCTCATTAAGTCTCTGTATCAAGGGCTGGGAATGTGTGATTTGTTGTACAGATGCGGTTTCTCCTACAAGGCAAATTTTTATGTTTGTTTTCTGAGGGAAATATATAGAAGCAAACTTCTATATATTTCCCTCAGAAAGGTGCTACTCCTGTCCTCTGAAGATGCCGGCCACAGAGACCGGTGAAGCGTTAGGAAGAACAACCTTCAGAACACGGCCAAGGAGCCTGAAAAACCCACAACAACCATTCCATGACTGTTGTTGCCATTTTGTCTGTATTGCTGGCAAAAGGTAGAGATGAGGACCCCTGGCATGTGCACAGTTCACAGCCAGCCAGTTCTATAAGCCCCAGTCCACACATTATTTTAAAAAACCCCACTTGCTCTTCTTCCCCTCATTTTTCTGTCACCGATGAAGTGCCTCTAAGTCCCTAATGTTCAGCAGCTAGGCTTTCCTGCAAGGCAAAATGGCGAGCATTAAACATAACCTTGAGTAATGAGTGAGCAGGTGGCTGTGAAAAGATCATTGAAAAAAATAATGTCAAAAAGCAAATTCCTTTGGTGACAAGAAGCTACTCACAGCTGACAAATGGGACAATAGCCCTGAAAAATCTGGAGGGGAAAAAAACAGATGTGGCTTTCTCACCACTACAATGTACCAGAAGGAAGTCCTCTGTCTATGAAACAGGAAGCACTCTGCATTTAAAATGGGGTGGTTTTTTTCCCTTTCCGTTAATTTGCTACATGCATTGGTTAGCTGTTCTGAACTTCTTAAGCAGTTTCATTCTTGACACAGTGAATTTTGAATTTTACATTAAGTCTATAGTGTGATATGAAGTCTATAGCAGGGGTGGCTACATGTATGGTGTGCTGGACTTTTTGACTGTAGGAGTGGGCCAGTGAGACTGACCTTGAAACGGGGCAGGTGAACCACCATGCTCTATAGCAAGGGTCTCCAAACTACAGCTCACAGGCCAAATCTAGCCTGCCTTTTCTTTTTATTCGGCCCCGGAATAGGAAGAGGAGGGAAGGGGGACCCAAGCGATCCTCCACCCCATTGTCTTTTCAAAGACAGCAGAGGTGGGGGATTTTTTGGTCCCCCTTCCTTCCTCATCCTATGCCCGTGGGGATAGGAAGAGGAGCAAAGCATGATCTAAGTGATCCCCCACCCAGTGGGGTGAGGGATTGCTTTGGTCCCCCTTCCCTCCTTCAGCCTTCAAAAATTTGTAAACTATATGATGTGGCTCTCATACTGAAAAGTTTTGAGACCTCTGCTTTATAACTATACATCAATCTAAGGATTATTTCACTCTGCCACATAGATTGGAGAGAAGAGAATGCCTATTAGAAATAGAATAAGTACGAGCACATATAAAAGCAAGCATTCTTCCTTGTTAAAGAAAGAAAATCTGGAAATGGACTCATAGCTTCTGCTAAAATCTTGGAGGTTCTTGTGTGGAGGTTTAATTTAGCCATTATGTAATCATTGTAAGTGCAAAGAATCTAACAGCTCTATTCCTTCCTCCTCTACATACACAATGTCCATGTATGTTTCTCACTGAAACTTTTTTCCTACAACTCTACAAATGCACATGTAGACATGTTATGAATTAGAAATTCGGCATTCTCACTAAAGGTGCTAAATAACTAAATGGTGAATTTTTGACTAAATAACAGAGTTTGGTTTTCAACGGTGAGGAGTTCATATGGGATTGCACTAAGCAGTGGCAATGTGCCTTTCCAATACTTTGTGCATCATACTATGTTATGCATCATGAACATTTCTATCAACATTCTTTATAAAGAACTCTACAAAGTGTATGATATGGAATTTGAATGATGCTTGAAACATTACAACTGTAAGCAGGGATGCTGGCAAGTCTTTGGGTCCAAGTACCAAGCCCAAGCCCACGTTTTTGGTACCAAATCCTGAGTCCCAAGGCCCAAGTCTTAGTTCCTATTAAAAACAAGCTTTTTTTTCACCCAGAAAAAAAATGGAGGTGTGGGTGTATTCCAAGTTGTGAGTCAATTCCAAGCCATTGGGGGGGGACCGAGTCGTGTCTGAGTTGTCACAACTTAAATCTGTCCAGACAGTGAGTCCCACAACTTGAGTCCCCATTCCTGGTGTAGGTTTTCTAACATTCGATTCCAGGTAACAGACAAAATATATGTGTTATTTTTAACACAAAAGACAGGGATATGTGATTTTGGATTTTTGAGACCTCAGCTCCCAGAATTCTTGAAACATTTGTGAGGCAGAATGCTGGGAGTTTCAGCCTACAGATCCACACCTTCAGACACCTATATTTCATTCACTTGGAGCAGGGCCTACCCCTAGTTCTTCAGGAGGAAGCTTCTATAGAGCCTAAAGGGCAAAGAGACTACCTCTCCAAGAAACCATCGTTGGAGCTTCCTGTCAGGAAGCATTGCTACAGGAAATGAAGGCCTAGAATGTCATACAGCCTCAGAGGAATAGGCCCTGTTCCAGGTGAGTGAAATATATACTGTATGTCTGTGTGGGTCTTGAGCTTGAGCTTCTAGAATTCTCTCTCAGGAATTTTGGGATCTGGGAACCCAAAAAATCTGAATGGTGCATCCTTTCTTACTATATAATGTAACATTATTCTTCCTCTGTCCAGTGGACTATAATACACCTTACTTTCCATAGTCTTCTCATTCATAACTCTACAACTTTTCTCAAATTTTAGTTTTCATTCAGTTATGTATTTGTTTGTTTGTGCAGGTTGTGTTTTCTCTGGTGTCAGGAAACATGGGCAGGGCCTTTGAAATACGTACAACGAACAATACCTATGGAGAAGTATTTGTGGCCAGACCTTTGGACCGGGAACTAATGGAGCATTACACGTTAAAGGTAATTAGAAGATGCCGACCATTCAAGTTACATCATGCAAAATGATGCCAAGTGGAGTTGCATCAGTTATTTCTAGTGGCAATTTTATATCCAGTTCTATTCCTAATGATCCTCAACACATAATTTTCTTTTTCATAGCGACTGAAACTGGGTCAACCTTTTCATCTCACCTTCAGCAGAGGGCAGGTGGTCTTCCCAGAAGTCAAGTAACATTGACTGTATGGTGGCTAAACACCACAAGTAGAGAGTGGGGACAAATGGGCAGACTGGACTCTCTAACTCTCTTATTGGAACAAGCTTTAGTGTAGGCTATCATCTTTCCACTTGGCTATAACCTTTTGATCATATTCCAGATTCAGGCAACTGACAAAGGTGTTCCACCTCGAAGGAAAGAACACACCTTAAGAGTTAATATACTGGATGTTAATGATAATCCCCCAGTCATTGCAAACCCATATGGCTACAATGTTAGCATTTATGAGGTAAGTGTCTTTTGTTGCTGACTTTCTGCGTAAAACCTCACAGCCTTGCTTGTCTTTCCTTTAAAAAACATTGATTGTTCAGAAGGAAGAGTCTCTAGGGTAAATGTATTCCTTGCTTTCTAGCATGTTCTGTAGCATGTTAAGAATATTATTGTAAGATGGCTTCTGGATTGAAGGTGTTGAAGCCCAAAGAATCCTGGTTGTTATCTTCTTTGAGTCAAAACAATTAATGAAATAAATAATCCATACAACTTCAGTGGCAAATAAACGTGAAAGCTGGAAAAAAAATCCACAACTCTGCAATGTCCAGCCCCTCTTAGTCTCAGTGGCCTGAATCCAACCACTGAACTAGAACAGACTCATCATCTTCTGAAATCCAGTAGCATAAGGTATGCCACATAAGGCTAATGGTGTGTTCAACAGCTGCAGTTTTTCAGAAATTAAACATTTCCAATCCTACCCCCTGCACTAAAGTTCCCAAAGTTCCCTTGGGATCCTTTTTATTGAGAGGAAGCCATGGGATTGGTGAGTCTGTGTTTAATGTCAAAAAATCACCCTCATCGGTAAAATCAACGTTGTGACCTTTGAGGGGCTGGAATCAGAAGGTTTTAACTGCCAGAAAACCATTGCAGCTGCTGCATCACCTGCTTTACACAATGTAAGTTAAAGAACAGGATTTCAGTCCCTGAATAAATTGCTGAATGATAAGCTGACCTTTATGTAAATTGCATTGATTCAGTGGGTCTACTTTAGCTTAGACTAACAGTTGAATTTAGGGCAATATGCCTAACTTATACAATATGAGCATTAATTGGTTGCCCTTGATCAGATTTTTAAAATAACTCTACTGGCCACTTCAAGGCTTCTGTCTAAAAACTGCTGATTTACAGTAACTCAGATTTAGATTTTTTTTACTTGGGTACACATACATATGTATTGCTCATGAATTGCAGATGGGAATAGATTGCCATGAACCCCCCTCCATATAATTTGCTCTGATTGTGGACCTCACAGCTATGTTAGAAAATAAAATAAAATAATCCAACTGTTACGTAAATAATAGTTATGTTTTTGAAAAAGTGTGCATGATTCTACATTTCTGAATGGAAACGTTAGCCTAACTTTAGTTTCTTTCCACATTCTTTCCTGCACCTCATCCCGTGTATTCACAGAATGTGGGTGGAGGCACTGCTGTTGCTCAGGTGCAAGCCACTGACAGGGACAGTGGCCTCAATAGTGTCCTCTCCTACTACATCACTCAAGGGAATGAGGAACTGACCTTTCGTATGGATAGAGTGACCGGGGAGATTGCCACCCGTCCTTCGCCTCCAGATCGTGAGAGGCAACAGTTCTACCAGCTGGTGGTCACTGTGGAGGATGAAGGCAACCCAGCCCTCTCAGTAAGTTGTGGTTATGTGAAAAATTATAATTAGCAATGCCGTTGGGGATGGACTTACTGTAGGACAAAGCAAGGGAGATTTGACTGATTCTAAATGGTATTGTCTGCTGGACAGGAAATGTGGGTACAGTGTCCCATTGCAAATCTTCTGTGCTCAGTTTTTGTGGGAACTTTGTCCAACCAAACTGTTGGTGGCATCAGGATCAGACTCAGCTCACAAAAAAATGGTCTGCTGGAACGGCAGCCAGTTCCTAGACCCCTCTAGTCTCCATCCTCAGTTGTTCAAGTGGATCATTTATAGGGTGATATATAGTTCTTTAGGCAATCATCACAGATCTTGGGGGTAACTGTTAGAAAGACTGAAACAGAAAGGGGAAAAAAACCAGTACCGCAACTCCAACTAGTCCACGGCCTGAAAGCTCTTGTTCATTCATTTCATCCATTATGCAAAAACCAAAATAGAATGAAGGAAACTCCACAAATGAACCACCTGTTCTACATCTGTGGGGCCACCCTACCGCAGATCTCCACTGCCCTGTGTTTAATCTTGGGCAAGAAGCTCTAGTGTGTAATAGCACTCCGTTCCATTTGTTCCTTGGTGGTATCACTAATTTAGATCCCTTTCAGTCTTTCTCTAGACTCAATTGTGAGATATAACTTTGGTCATTTTGGTGGATGATCTTTGATGATTTACACTAGACTTTGAGAAGGTGAAGTATGTCATTCTGCATAATCTCTCCACACCTTTTGATGTCCCTAAACATTATATCTTCTCAAACCAAATTACTTGGAGGCACTCTTCTAGTGATTTTGGCCCTTTCCAGAGTAGTGAATTCAGAAATAGTGCTGGGGAACACCTGTTTGGCTGTTGGTCTATGGTGCTTCTCAAAACTCCAACTTGCCCTGTTGCTTTTTAACTTCAGTATGAAAATTATCAGGAACTCATTCAGGTTTTGGCAGTTCGGTGTCACCGATATGCTCATGACACCCACTTTTATCTCCCCTCTCCATCTAAATCCAAGGAAAATCTTTATGTTCTGAGTTAGCATGTCAGTAATGCAGGTGAAAAATAGAACCTTTATCCAGGAAGGAGAGTGGTGTGTAAGGTAAATAGACAGATTGGAAAATAAGGCTTTAGGTGCCTTGGAATGGGCTGCATTCTCCTTGAAAACTCGGCTTCACATAGAATACACACTTGAGTTCATCCCTAAACCCAGAGATCCACTGGAGGAGGAACCTAAAGGCAGGAGTCAAGTGTAAGACTACACTGCCATTACTATACCACCTTCTTGATGCCACAGCTTCCTGCGTACAACTCCTCATTCCACAATTTGTGTCTTGCCCTCATAGAACCCTCCTTCTGCAGACCAAGGGATTATGAGTGAGTTGTCCAATGGTTCCCATAATGCTGCCACAGCACAGGCAATTCCCAAGGCTGTCTCACCGACACTGCTTTGCCATGAAGAAGAGGATTCAACCCAGCGGAATGCATTTGAATCTACAGAACAAGGCACTAGATAGACAGGCATTTGGGAGCCCCACATTATTCACTCTTCTGCTAGAGCACTTGCTGCAGCAAAAGAATGGCTGGTATGGTCCACCGGAGAACCAGCTCACCAAGTGCCATGCTCTGAGAGCCTTTTAGAACCAGGCATTGTGCAATCACTTATAGTGCCTTGGTTTTTAATAGTATTTGCAATAATAGAAGAGCAGCTGTTAGTGCTCTGCAGGAAAACCCTCTGTAGAGTGAAGCATTGATGGTTGCTCTAGAGGGGCGACTAGAGGGATGAGAGATAAACCACTTCCCCAGTGGGAGGGGAGGGGAGATTCACACATTGTCCCCCATCTACTGCCCCCTCCACCTGCAGCATCAATAGTAAGTTAAACCGTGTATGTTCTTTGATGGGGACCTTTTCTTCTGTCCCACCATCTGAAGAAATTTAGCAGGAACTCCAAAGATGGCCTCACTCGTGGCTGCTTCTAAGCTCTGGAGTTCCTTACCAAGGGAGGCCCACCTTGCTTCTTTTTCAATGAATCTCCATTAGCTGGTGCACTATATTATTTATTTATTTATCTATCTATCTATCTATCTATCTATCTATCTATCTATCTATCTATCTATCTATCTATCTATCTATCTATCTATCTATCTATCTATCTATCTATCTATCTATCTATCTATCTATCTATCTATCTATCTATCTATCTATCTATCTATCTATCTATCTATCTATTTATTTATTTATTTGCTTGAACCATCTGTTGTTTTTTTTAAAAACCCACTCGCTAGTTGTATTGATTTGACTTATGCTTTACTTACTTCTTCTGCTATATGGTTATTTTATATTTGACTTTGTGCTTTATCATCGCTAGCCAACTTAAGCAGCATTTGATGAAGACTCCCCATGTAGTCATCCTCACACAAGCAGAGTCTTTGCGCTCTGTCTGTATGAAGTATGTATTTTCTTTTGACATGCTCACTCAGCACTACTCTTACTGCACCTTCCTTACGTAGTAAGGGGGGATGTGAGGAAAGAAAACTTCTTGATGGAATTATATCTAATTGAGTCAAGATTGCAATCACTGCACCTCTGATGTTCTATGCATCCTTAGACACTACCGACATTACCTACCTGATATTATGGTTACCAACCTATCTTTATTGGTTGATCTTCATGGAGGGGGAAGGTCTATACTAGCCACTCTCAGTGGGGATCATATGGCCCCCTGGGAGCCCCTAGCACATTTGAAGGGAGCCACAAACAGAAAATTCTTCTATTATATATTTTTTATTCATCTGTTCATATTGTATCCTTCTTTGAACCTGAGAAGAGCTCCTAAAAGGGCTGCGGCCAAAAAGGTTGAAAATGGCTGATTTATACTGTGTTTTAGGAATGTTTGAATTTCTTAGCAGTGTAGGAGATCCCCAACCAACAAAACTGGTTTTGTACAGCCCTTTACCTGGAACTAGAAGGTGGGGATAACCAGCTCACGGGTGTCTTTCTTCCATTTAAGAAAGAATTAAGGTATGCACAGTGAATTGCAAACTTTTTCCCTATCCTTTTTCCAACTGCATTTAGTATATTTCAGTGGCTGATATCCTGTTGCTTAATGCCGTAAATCACAACTAGAGTTAGACCTATTGAATCAGTGTGGATATCGTGAGCCAACTCTTGCATAAATTCCATTCATTTCACTGGACCTATTCTTATTGCAATTTATGATGCTAAGCAACAAGATTTCAGCCAGCATCTCAAAAGATTAAAGTAAAAGGTTCCTTAAGTTGAGAAGTTTGGCTGTACAGCCTCAGGCTTCTTTCTTATGACAAGGACTCCTTGCTGGTGGAGTCAATGCAATCTCTGATTGTAGCTGGATTGCCTTTTTTTGGCTAGAGAGAGCAAGAAGACAGATTAATTTGAAGTCTTTAGTAGTACTAGATAACAATTCCCTGCAGTGTTTATGACCTTCATATCAACTACATCTCACATGGAAATTTAAACAAGTTCTAACTATTTCTGACTAATCAATAGCTATGTTTATGAGGGAAATACAAAAAAATGTACTGCATTTGACTCTCGTCTGTTGGTACTGAAGCCTACTTGTGCAGAAGCAGTTATATGCGTCTTGTGTGTTATATGCCGTCAAGTCAGTGACCCTAATAAGGTTTTCCACGCAAGTGAGATATTTAAGGACTGGTTTTGCCATTGCCCCTTCATCCCATCCCCTGTGAGTTTCCACAACTGAGGGGGTGGGATTTAAACTCAGGGCTCCTGCATCCTGGTCTGTCCTTCTATCCACTACAGCACGCTAGGTAACTCTTCTCTTGCACCTCTAATTTGTTGGATGTCATAAGAATTAAGCAATGATTGCTTGAGATATTTATTTGCACAGATTATAGATTTTATAATTATTGGGACCAATTATTTCCCTCAGCTTCATCTGAGACAGCTGCTTTGTTTCATCTAGAATTAGTTTTTAATGTGGTTTCAGCATCCTCTCTTGTTTTCTATCTAGTACTGAAAGAACAAGCTGGGTAGCTGCCCTGCCCTACAGCTGTTTTTGCTCTAAATCAGACATGCACCCCGAGCAGTCCTTCTCTTACCTCTGTACGTGGCTTACGGACCATTTTGCAAGGATGGTTGGTTCACTGTAATTCCATCCTGCTGATTTGACTGAAAGGGTAGAAGACTTTAAACAGTCTCCCTTCTTGCCCTTTTGGCCAAGATCAAGTGTACCTTTCTCCCTTCTCTAAAATCATTTTTGCTGTGTTTAAAAACAACTGCAAAGTAGTTTACATGCTTGCATGATTTGTCTGCTTTCCAACTAATGGATTAGCAGGAATGTACTTCTTGTTTTTGGCCATCTCTTAGTGACTTTGCTTTTGCTTAATGTTTTCATAAGATGGTGTCCCACCCTGGTACCTGCAGGTAACCCAACAGTGAAGGCACATATAAATTGCCAGAGATAATCACAATCACAAGCTTTATCTGGGGAAGTTTGTGTATCTTTCGAAACAAGTATGTTAGTAGCTTCTGAGACTGCATGCATATAGAAGAGTTGGGGACAATGAGAGTAACAGCTTCAGTGTGCCTGATCAAGAGAGGTACAAGCACATCCTACGATCTCTCAGAATCTGACCAATGCACATTTCTTTGTGTGTATGTCTTGCTGTGTTTAGTGGGGCATGCTTGAGGTGACAGGCTGTGTCAATGGGCAACAAAATCAAAATATGTGATTATTGTGGGTAAACTATAAGCTTCTTTTGTAGGAGCCTTTTCTTCTACACTTGATTTAATATTGCAGCCTGAAACTAGCTTTCTTGATAAAACCTGTATATGGTGATGTTGCCTCAGAAAATAATTGATTTCTGGAATAAAATATATTTTTTCTAAAAACACCTAAAACAACCTTAGAAAAATTCTATTTTTTAACCTCAATGTTGTTATTTCTTCATATTTGTTCATAGCTTATTGCCATTTCTTCAGTTATTTGAATCTGACT